TGTAAGTAAAATATCCATATTCAAAACATAATAATCACTTTAATGTAGCTTGCGCCAACAGTTGTCCACGGAAGCAGCTTCGGGCGGATGATGTATGAGGTCAGCTTTGCGCATGCGCTGCTCAGAAGTGACGTACGTGGAAGCGCAGCGGAGAGATCAAAACAAAACAACGGTCACTTATTAGAAATACAAAACGAGGATTTGTAAAGAAGAATGTCGGAGGATTTCGATATAAGCCAAGAGAGAGTGTATATATATATTTTTTTGTTTGTTTGTTTTGTTTTGTTTTGTTTTGTTTTTTGTTTTTTTTTAATAATGTGATCAAAGCCGAATTTTCAGCATCATAACTCCAGTCTTCAGTGTCACATGATCCTTCAGAATTTTTTCTAATATGCTGATTTATTATCAATGTTGGAAACAGTTTTGCTGCTTAATATTTTATGGAACCTGTGATACTATTTTCTGGATTCTTTGATTAATAAGTTAAGTTATTAAGTTAAGTAAAAAAAAAAAAAACAGCATTTATTCAAAATAGAAATCTTTTGTAACAATATACACTTCTGTTCAAAAGTTTGGGGTAAGTAATTTTTATTTTTTTTAATAAATTAATGTTTTTATTCAGCAAGAATGTGTTAAATTTATTAAAAAGTGATAATAAAGACTTATATTGTTAGAAAATATTTCTATTTTGAATAAACACTGTTCACAAGTGTTTGATTCATTCATCAATGAATCCTGAAAAAAGCATCACAGATTCCCCCCAAAAAATCCCAAAATTTCATTTTTAAAATTTGTATTAGTTTGCATGCATGTGAGCCTATGATCAAGCAAAATGTTTATATTTATGTTTGTATGTGATAGTTTTATACATTTCCCCAAATTTTCAATTAATTCCAAAAAATTCCCGTAAATTCCCATAAATTCCTGTGCCCGGTTGCATAAAGCACCTTAAGTTTTTCCCTTAAGTATGAGACTTAAGGCGTGATTTCCCCTTACCTAAGGGAATGACTTAAGGGTGTTGCATATAAGCCCTTAAACACTTCCCTTAGCAAAGGGAAATTTTAAGTGTTTAATTTTAAGTGTTTAAGTGCGTTAAGTGTTTCACGACAGCGACCCAGGATTTGCCGTTAAAAAAATCGACTGTTGCCATGGTCACGTTATTTGTTAATGCAGATAGCGGTGTAAGTTTTCACAGAAAACAATATAACATGGATAAGGAAAACAAAAAAGTAAACCAAATATGAAAGAGAAGGACCAGATGAGACAGAAACTCAAATTGATAATTCACTCGAAACTGAAAATTCTGAAAAATCATTTGCTCACCTTCGTGTTAGTTCAAACCCATACGACTTTTATTCATCTTTGGACAACAAATAAAGATCTCTCATCATTTCTGTCCCATGTAGAGGTTTTCAGGGACTCGTGTGAATAAATACATATTTAAATGCAAAGAGACAAGATAGTCTATGCATGACGTTTTATTCGTATCCAAAACGATGTGAACATTAAAGCGCTAAACTCTCATGCAGTGTGTGTTTCATTCATACTCTAAGCCGGAGGGCGCTCTCGCGCTGAAAGTCTAAACCGGATTCATAGAAGTAGCCTATCTTATAAGCTGAATAAAAAGCAGAAACGTAAACACAATGAACTCACGATTGCAAGAATATATGGTTTATTTGTGTTTTTCAAGTCATCTCCAGGTAATATGTAGGAAAATACAGAAATAAAATATTATGGAATATAAATTTGTTCTTGAGTGTGACGCACTCACGTTTGAGCTAATTATGTGCTGTATGTAATCAATGTTTATATGTGAATAAATGCGTAAATTAAAATCTGTTTAACATGTAAAGCGGCCGATCATGACTTGTAGAAGACTTTTGTGTAACACTTAAGGTGACATTTTCCAACCCTTGTATTATCCTTAGGAAAATGACAGTTAAGAGGCTTTATGCAACACTTAATGGGTTTTAAGGGATACTTAAGATAAATTCTAAGGGTTTATGACGTTTCACCTAAAGAAACCCTTAAGTAACATTTAAGGGATATTTTATGCAACGCCCTTAAGTGTAAGGGAAACTTAAGGGCGATCTTAAGGGAAAATTACACTTAAGGTGCTTTATGCAACCGGGCACTGGTCTGTTCTGAAAGAAGAGCCTGCTAAGGGTCATAAATTCAAGGAGGAAGATCTCAGTCATTGGAAGGATACAAACCACTGACACATTGCTTTTACATTGAGTTGACTATTGCTAGATTAGAACTGAAAGTGGATTTAAACTCTTAAAGTTCAAAAATGAAAATGCTGTCATTCATTAACCCTCATGTAATTTCAAATCTTCTGTGGAATTTTGAAGAATGAGTGTTTTTCTCCAATAAAATTCAATGGGGACCAAAAGAGTGTTATTTAAGTATTATTTATATATTATTATAGTATTTTTTATTATTTTGAAATGGCTTTTATTTTATATTTTTCAGTGTTCATTTTAATTTGTTAATATTGTTTAATTAATAATAAGTAGTTTTGTTATGTGCTTTTTATAATTTTTTTATATTCATATTTAGGTTCAATTCTATTTTAATTTTAGTTATTTATTTCCAATTAGTAATTTTAGTGCTTTAACTTTCATTTAGTTTAGGCTTTTCATCTAATATTTATATTTTATTTAATTTCAGGCTTATTACAATTAACAAAAATGTTTAAAAATAGTTTTTAGTTCATGATAATAAACAACACTAGACCCCATTGACTTTAATTGTATGGACAAAAAAAGCCAGACATATGTTCTTATGTGTTCTGCAAAAGAAAGTAAGTCATACATTAGGGTTGTGACGGTGAGGAAATTTTCCCACCGGTTAATCGACGTGTGACAACACCAGTAATACCGGTATCACCGCGGGGCGTTCCTTCTTTTCCTCGCTTTCCTTCGCTTTTAAATAGCTTGTAAAAGCTGTGCGCGCGTTTTACTTTTACTTTCACTTTCAAATAGCGGCAATTCGGAGTAAAGCAATTGTTCGTTTTTAGTTCGTTTGAATTTTCCCTCTTTT